GGAATCTAGCCCACCAAGAAATATTGGTCTAAGTAAGTGGTATTATTGATAAGCAGACATAAGTCCTAATTCTGGTTCTTTGACCACTTATATGGAGAGGACCTAAAGTAAAGATGATAAACCTACCTTCTTTATCTCTTAGAATGATAAAGGTGGAATGAGATTGAAAAAGCTAAAATGAGAGGAATCACTTCCACTTTATACAAATGGAAGAAATCAGAAGACTTGGGGATTCAGAAACCATGTGGATAACCAGGGACATTATTAGGAAGCTCCCATTACTTTTGATCTCATAAATTTTCTACTTGAAGTTTTCTTTCTTTTTTTTTTCTCTCAAACTCCTGGTGATCCTCCTACCTCAGCCTCCTGAGTGCTGAGCTCACAGATGTGTGCCACCACACCCAGCTCTTTGCTTGAAGTTTTCTGCCCCTCTTGAAATGAGGATTCCCATCCTTGAGCAGTTCATATGTCTGCTACTCAGCCTCTCCTTATGCTTTTCTCTCTTTGTAACCCAGTACATCGTGAAGTGCCATGGCAGCACGCTGCTGCCCCAGTTCTTGGGGATGTACCGAGTCAGTGTGGATAATGAAGACAGCTACATGCTTGTGATGCGCAATATGTTCAGCCACAGACTTCCTGTGCACAGGAAGTATGACCTCAAGGTAAGGAGAAGAGATCTCAGCGTTAGGGGAGGATCCTGATGACCTGAGAATAGAGAAGGCCCTGAGAGGGCATTGGATGATTCCTTTTAAAGAACAGAAGGGTATGAATATAAGTACTCATCTTAGGAGCTGGGTTCTGTTCTTTTGGCCTCTTCTGTTGACTTGGTTTTTGGGTCTCTCCACAGGGTTCCCTAGTGTCCCGGGAAGCCAGCGATAAGGAAAAGGTGACCCTCATTTTAAGTGTCAGGGTGAGGGGTGGGGCTGGGGATGAAAGGGGTCTTCTTAGGATGAGGGGGCCATTCTCCATATGGGGATCATCAGCTATTTATTCTCAAAGCACCGACAAGAAGAGAGATGTGAACTTCTACTGGTGCAGAGGTAGCCTGGAGAGGCAGTAGTAGCAGCTGCTTTGTCCCTGGCAGGGGGTATTTTGTGTGCATGGTTTGGGAATGGGTTGAGATACTGGGCTTCTAGAGCAAAATATCCACCTTCCAGCTCTCACTTGGGTCCTTCATTGAAGTAGATATTTTTGCTAAAGAAGAAGGAAAAAAAGCCAGCATGGAAGATTTTATTGAAGACTATAATCAGAAAGTCTTATAGTGCAGATGCAGGCTGGAGGTGTAGCTCAATGGTAGAGCGCTTGCCTAGCACGTGCAAGGCCTTGAGTATAATCTCCAGCACTGTGCCCCCCCCCCCAAAAAAAGTGGAGTATGTTGTGATGTGGGATAGTAGTACAGCTGAGTGACTGAGTTTGGGCAAGCATCACAGTTTGGGAATTTTTTTTTTCTTTTTCTTTTTTTTGAGACAGGGTCTCACTATGTAGTTTAGGCTGTCCTTGAACTCAATATGTGGCCCAGGCTGGCCTCGAACTCATGCCAATCTTCCTGCCTCATCCTGCCAATTGCTAGGATTACTGGTGGGCACCACCATACCTGGCTCACAGAATGGTTTCACTGGACAGAAGTAGTGTGAAACTGCTGTCCTCAAGGCCACTGAGATAGAGACAAAGTGGTCCACAGAGGCAGGGTTGTTCAGGCCCCAGGGAGGGATTGTAGTCCTGAGACATCCTTTTCCCTATTCTAGGTTAAAGAGTTGCCCACCCTTAAGGATATGGACTTCCTTAACAAGAACCAGAAAGTGTACATTGGTGAGGAGGAGAAGAAAGCATTTCTGGAGAAGCTAAAGAGAGATGTGGAGGTGATGATTGGGGTGCTCAGAAATGCCTTTCTTTCTTTCCTTTTTTTAGTTGTTCCATTCACAATAGGAGAGAGCTCCTTCCCTCCCCTTATTCTTTGGGTCCTCTATATTTAGTAGTTGAGCATGAAACAATAAACCCATGGAGGCTGGAGTGAATAAAGAGGTAATCATAGATTCTAGGACGTTTAGCACCAAAAGGCAGCAGTAGACCCCAGTCTCAATTTTTATCCTTACCTTTCCCTAGGAGGGGCCCAGAAATTCCAGGATAGAGGTATAGAGGTGTTACCTGGCAGTGGGGAGGGAGATCTGGGTTTTCTGATCTGTAAGTGGGTCTCAGTTTCTAGTGCAACTGAAGATCATGGACTACAGCCTTCTGTTGGGCATTCACGACATTATCCGGGGCTCGGAACCAGAGGAGGAGGGGCCTGTTCGGGAGGACGAGGCAGAGTGGGATGGGGACTGTAATCTAACTGGACTTCCTGCCCTGGTGGGCTCCTACGGCACCTCCCCTGAGGGGATTGGAGGCTACATTCATTCCCATCGACCACTGGGACCTGGAGAATTTGAGTCCTACATCGATGTCTACGCCATCCGAAGTGCTGAGGGTGAGAGAGATCTTGGAATTTTGAGGGTAGAGAGGGGAGGTTGTCCTTAGGAGACAGAGACCAGATGGTAAGCTGGTCAGCTTTCCAAACAAAGCTGATTCCTGGGAAAGGAGAATTTGGCCCATAGCTGCCTTTTCATTGTTGGTCTTTCTCCAGGGGCTCCCCAGAAGGAGGTGTATTTCATGGGGCTCATTGACATCCTGACACAATATGATGCCAAGAAGAAAGCAGCTCATGCAGCCAAAACTGTCAAGCATGGGGTGAGCATTCCCCAAAACCTGCCTTTTCCTGTCTTGGCTATTATCTGAGTAGAGAGCCTTTTGTGTCAGAGCAATGGGGTGGCAAAAGAAGGGAAACAGGCTGGAGTAGGTGGGAGAACAGGGAATGGGGAAGATGTGGTGAGGTGGCCTGACACATTGTTTCATACCTCCTCTCACAGGCAGGGGCAGAGATCTCTACTGTCCATCCTGAGCAGTATGCTAAGCGATTCCTGGATTTTATTACCAACATCTTTGCCTAAGAGCCTGTGTGACTCCATGGTGATTTCTGCTTCACATTCAAGGTGGCAGGGTTCTGAGAGGCTTGGGGGAATTGTGGATATTCTGGTCACTACTTCTCTTCCTCCTTTGCTAATTTCAGGCTACAGGCTCCTTCCATCTAAATAGCTCCATCTCGTTGAGTAGGCTTTTCTTGGTCCCCCGAAATACATTGCCCTTTCTCCCTTCTGTCCATTTTTGTTCCTTCTTTCCCTCCTTCCAGCAAGCCCTCTTGCTTCATTATAGTGTTACTGTTGACTCTCCCAAGTGCCTTGATCTTTGTAAAATATCCTATTGTTTCTATAAGATAGGAGGTGCGGGGACCGGGGAGGGATGTTTGCCATCTTCAAGACCTGACTCAACAGATGGACCTGGCTCAAGAAACTACTTGGTGCACTTTGCTCTATGGAATGAACTGAGAGTGTCAGAATTTGCTGATAACTTTATAGAACTCAATAGTGTGCTTCCTTCCTGGTAGGCCCTGGGATGGAAGACTTTTGGGATACTACAGATGTGGATGCAAGTATGCACACACGATAGAAAGTGGCCAATCCAACACGTGGAGGTGGGGTGGGGAGTGGTCAGCAGGCTGGCACCTCACAGAGGCAGGACCTGAGAGGACTTTTGTGACTATGCAGGGAATTGGAGGTCTCTGGCAAGGAGTGATTACTCTCCAGTCTTCTCCCACCCCACTCCCACTTCCATCTGCAACCATCTGCACATCTGGGCACAGATGCCTAGAGATGGCCAGAAGTGTCTGAGCCTGGGTGAAGGTGTTTGACTACTGCTGCGTGAACCAGAACCTCATGGCTTTCCTGGAGCTGGAAGTTTCAATGGGTGTGGTCAGTTCTGGAGGCTGGAATGATGGGCCTGTGTTTGGCTCATTTACACGTTAAGTTTCCTTTCTTCCTGCCTAGCTGTCCCGGAGGTTTATTTCCAGCAGAAGGGACTATCTCTCCTGGGTCAGTTCTGGTCATTTCAACAGGATGGAGATCTCAAGTGTGGGAACTTCCCTGAATGTGTGCAGCTAGCACACTTCCTTCTGCCCTTTCTCAAACCCTTTCGTCAGCTGTATTTGTTTTCATTCTGTTCTCTTTTGTCCCATCTTATACTGCTGCTGTGTCTCCCAGGGGACAGATGGCCTTCTTTGTCATCTTCACTCTCCTCCCCCAGAGAGGAGTCAGAGCCATAACTCAGTCACCCATCCACTTCCAAAGATAGCTGAATTAATGGGTGATACTCTCAGAATGTAGAGGACCCTGATGAGATGAGATAGGTGTCCTTCCCTCCCTCCAATGCCTTTGGGGCTAAGATACTCATTCTTGATACCACCCCCCAAGCATCCACATTTTTTTCACATAAAGATGGGCACCAGCAACTAGCCTGTGGGGATGCAAAGCTGTTTTGCTCTGTCTGGCTGGACTAACCAGTCCCACAAGAAGGCATAAGGTCGTAAGGGAGAAACTGCCTTCCTGTCACCTTCTGCTCCAAAGGAGGTAGCAAGAGAAGTCTCCAGTGTGGGGTTGGAGCCCCTGTAATACCTTCCTGTCCTGTGTGGATCCTGGTGGATCTTTTCTATTCCCATCATCTACCTTTCCCCTGTTGAATGCAATAAAACTCTGTGACACCAGCAGCTGTTGCTTTTTAGAACTGGGTTTACTGATTATGCGGCTGGTGTATCTTAGGCAGTATAATCTTCATTTGCTGCTTGTTTTTCACCTTTTTTGTTTCATTAATAAAAGATCTTATGTATTTACTCCCATTACTATCACAATACAAAAATAAATTATTCAATCCAAATTCCTTCACAGAAATGCTTTTTTAAAACTTTTTTTTTTTTTAAATTCTGAGGAATCCTGTCCTTAGGGATACAAGACCAACTGAAGAATTCTAGTTGAAAGATGTGGGATTCTAAGATGGCTGTGAACTTAAAAGGTGGTGACGGGTGGACTAGGAATGGGAAACATTCATCAACTTTGGGAATTGCAGTAGTGAGGCTTGGGGAGGAGTGGAATGGCATGGCCTTCATCCCAGGAGTCCGGGCTTGCTCATACTCTTATCTCCAGAGGTGAGTGGGCCTCAGCCTACCAGCTGAATCAAAATGAATTCAATGTTCTGGGCCTCCTGGGAAAGCTCTCTTCTGCTTAGAGGACAGGAAGAGTACATCAGGGTCCTGGGAAAATGAAGAGTGACCAGCCCACCAGTCCAGAGAGGGAGTGAAAAAAGGGGTGGATGACTAGTGTTTGTTGCCAGTCTGGGAGATTTCAGTGTGTCTTGGCTGAGGAGGTCCTTGGCTGGTGAAAAAACCTGGCTTGATGTGGCCCCAGGGAAGTGAGTTGGGCTGGGGGCGGAGACTGCTCTGATGTGAGAAGCAGAGCAGAAAGATATTTTTTCCCTTTGGGAATTTTTAACTCTATTTGAACCATACATTTGATACCACCACCCCCCCCAAGCCATTTAAAAAAGACCTGTTTACTTCCCATTCTGCACCAGTTTCAGTGTCCCTGTTTGTGAAAAGAGAAAAATCAGGCACTTAGAATACCCATCTCCTGGCAGGTTGTGAGGGTCACAGAAGGTAACAACTTAGAGTCAGATGAGGGAGGGGGTTGAAGTAGTTTGGTAATGGGATTATTTTGTTATCAAATCTTTTCTGTTTGCTAAGACCTCCCAACCCACATTGTTCCTCAAAGACCCTTCTACCAAAAGGATTTCTAAAAATTGTCCTCTCCAAATTTCCATATACCCACAGACGCTGCTCACCCACCCACCCACCACTAGTTCCCCAAAGCTGCCACGCAGCTAGTTGGGAAAGACAAGGGAGAGGGCCCCTCCGGGAGGGGCAAGCCAGAGGGGTGGCGTCTCTAAGGCTTATAACCTCCTACCTCGGCCACTTGACGCCACCCCCTCCCTCCAAAGACTGGGACAGTGCCTCCATTTTTGTTTTGGGGCGGAAGGGCAGGGGCTCCGGAGTAGAAAGGGTCAAAGGAAACAGCGATCAACACCTGCGAAAGCAAAGGGGGTGCTGTCCTCCCTCCTTCCCTTTCCCTGGGTCTGCACCCCCTGAACCCCCTTCCACCTTCTCGAGCCCCCCCCCCTTGTTGCTAAGGCCTGGACCGTCATCCCAGCAACAGCCTCAGTCATGTGACCGGCAATGGCGGCGCTGACAAGAGGTAGGTGAGCCCGGCGCCCCCCACACCCACCGCGTGCCCCCCGCACCCGCGCGCACCCCTCGCAAGACCCTCGCTCTCTCCGCAACCCCTCCTCCGCCTCCTTTCCCCCAGGCAGGGTGCCAGGAGGGCCCCCCCCCCCTCGGGGCCGGGCAGAGCATCTTTCTAGCACCCTCAAGCCTTGGCCTCCATTTGGGGCTTCTGTGGGCCGCAGTCGGGTTGACATGCATCCCCACCCAGCGCTGGGGCTCGGGGCCTTCCGCGAGTGGGGGCTACGCGAGTGGGGGATACGGGGAGGTGGTTCCGGGTCGGGTCTTGGAGGAGGCCGTGGGGGGAGGGGTGGAGCTGCCTCTGGATGCCCCAGGGACCCGTGCCCTTCCTGGCAGTCCCTGCCTCGGCCGCTGTCTGGAGGACGGACTGGCCCTGTGTCTGGTCTGGGTTTCCCCAGAGGAATCACAGACCCAGCCTAAATTGTGGCCCCGCCTCCCTTTGCTGTACTAGCAGTACCTGGAGCTAAGACACCTAGGACCTGGGTCCCCTCTGGTGGGGAGGGTTGTTGTTCTACCGTATGGGGTGAGACTTGGGGTTCCGTTTTTACTTTGTGAATCTTGAGGTGCATCTGGCCTTGAGGGTACTATGACCGAGACACAGATAGACAGCGGCTCCTCCTTTTTATCAGTAAATAAATTGAGGTCACGCTAATGGTCCTTTCTAATTGAGCTGTACTTGGAGGTGTTTTGGGGACAGCCCTGTAGCTGAATGTGACAGGACTCTGGAAACATCAGGCCCCTCCAGCTGAGCCCCTGCAAGAGCCCTGCCCCTTCGAACTGCAGACTAAGCTGAGGGGCAGGAGGTGTTGATGCGTGTGATGAGTTTAAAGGTGACAATGAGAAACTTTGTTACTGCAGGGGCTGCTGCCACTTTGTTGACATCCCTAACCGACTTCAGCAGAGGGACTGAGTTAGCTCTCAAGGAAGGCTCTCCTTCAGCATAAGGGGTTGAATTTCTTGGAATAGGACAAGGAGTTGGGGAACATGAGAAATAATCCTGTCCCTGTGATCAGAGGGAGGTGGCAAGAACGACCTCCATCTGTGTGGGCTTCTTTCTGCACCCCAGGCTCTCTTGAGAGCCTCAGAGCTGGGAAGAAAAGAGGAAGGTTAGCACGTTGGAGTTTAACAACTTGGGGAGAGTGGAGCTGGGGAAGGGATTCTGAAGGGTAGAAGAATTAGCAAATAGGAGCTTTGTTTCTGGGCCGGCTGAGGGAAATGGTAACATATGGTATCATAACCCTTTCCTCTCACCCCTAGTCTTGGTCAGCTGAGTGTAGAAATAGAGGGATTTCTGCTGCCACCATCTTCCATGGGCTTTCCAGGTACCTGTCTCTGAAGAGAACCTCAGTTAGGTTTGGGCTAGTGGGGATTGGGGAAGGGATTTCTCACTTTCCCTCTTTTTCCTTCTCACCCCACCAGGTCACACAACCTACAAGTAGGGAGCAGGGAAAGAGAGTGAGCCTGCATGCCAATTCTAAGCTCTTCAGGATCAAAGTGAGCAAAAATGAGGGCCCAAAGTCTCCCTCCCCTTTAAAGGGCCCATTTTTCACCCAGGATGGGGGCGGGTAGTTGTTTCTTTGACCATGGGAGAGGGCCAGGGATTTAGTTCAGTGGTGCCTCCACCTGTTTCGCAAATGATCATGGGAGAAATGAAAGGAAAACCAAGTCTTGTAATGAGAATGGGGGAAGAAATTTGCTCCTCAAAGGGTATTGGGGTATGGGAGACAGGGGGAGATAGAAAATTAGTTTGGTGGAGGAGATGGGGTTGTACTTTGAGAAAACAGAGGTAATGGAGTTTGGAAGGAACCTGAACTAGGAGGCACTTATATGTTTCAAATGGGGACCCCCCCACACCCTGAGTCCCTTTCACCCTGGGGGCAGTGTCGTTCGTCCTGTCCAGAATGGCAGCCTGTGGAGGCACCTGCAAGAACAAAGTGACTGTCTCCAAGCCTGTGTGGGACTTCCTAAGCAAGGAGACTCCAGCCCGGCTGGCCCGGCTTCGGGAGGAGCACCGAGTGTCCATCCTCATAGATGGCGAGACTTCTGACATCTATGTTCTCCAGCTTTCCCCACAGGGTCCTCCCCCAGCCCCTCCCAATGGGCTCTACCTGGCCCGAAAGGCTCTCAAGGGGCTGCTAAAAGAGGTCGAGAAAGAGCTGAAGAAAGCTCAGAGGCAGGGGGAGCTTATGGGCTGCCTGGCTTTGGGTGGTGGTGGGGAACACCCTGAGCTGCACCGCCCAGGGCCACCCCCTCTCCGAGCAGCCCCGATCCTGCCCCCAGGGGCACGGGGGCTCCCCCCTCCCCCTCCCCCTTTGCCCCCTCCTCTTCCTCCCCGCCTTCGGGAGGAGGCAGAAGAGCAGGAGAGCACCTGCCCCATCTGCCTGGGGGAGATCCAGAATGCCAAGACATTGGAGAAATGCCGGCACTCGTTCTGTGAGGGCTGCATCACCCGGGCCCTGCAGGTGAAGAAGGCCTGCCCCATGTGCGGCCGCTTCTATGGGCAGCTGGTGGGCAACCAGCCCCAGAATGGACGGATGCTGGTCTCCAAGGATGCCACCCTCCTCCTGCCCAGCTACGAGAAGTACGGCACCATTGTCATCCAGTACGTCTTCCCGCCCGGTGTCCAGGGGGTAAGAAAACCATGGCCCGCCCTTACCCTTTGATTTTCCCAAGCTTGCTCTCTGACCTAGGAAAATTGGGTGAGGGTGAATGTATTAAATGTGACAGTCTTGTTGTCTCCAATATGCCTTCCTATTCAGTGACCTGGGGCTAGGACATTGCCTTGAGGCCCAGCTTTTCCATCCTCATGATTCTAAAGCACACAGAATAAAATAATCAAGTGTGAAAAGCTGGGGTTCAGCTCAGTAACAGAGCATGTGCCTAGCATGTGGGAGGTGCTGGGTTTGATCTCTAACATTGCAAAAAAAAAAAAATCAGATGTGAGAGAAGAGAATTACATACCGTTTCTCTGATGAACATGGATATTGACAAACATTCTTGGCAAAGGTAAATTTTGTGGAGATGGCAGCACCAGCCAGTGCAAGCAGGTGCACCAGGCACACCAGGAAGGGATCTAACCATCCTAACAGAGATGAGAGTGTTACTGTGTTTCATATGGGACAATAAAAGCTTGACGAGAGCCAGGGATTTAGCTCAGTGGTACAGGCAGGTGCCTCCCAAGCTCAAGGTCCCAAGTTTGATCCCTGGTCCCCCCCCCAAAAAAGCTTGAAGAGGCTGGAAGGTAAAAACAGGAATGGTCAAGGACCTACAGTTGTCTTCCTGCTGGACAAAGAGAAATGTCAACTCTGGTTTGAAGAGGGATGAGGAGTCTCCAAAGGAGAAATAGAAAAATGGAACAGGTTAAATAAACAGTGGCAGAAACATCAGGAGTGTTTTCAGGTAGAGGAGGGAAGGCTGAAAGATAAATTTTTCTTAGTTTTAACGTTTCTGCAGAGTAAGGACCAGCTACCTTGCATCATTTCTGAGAGTCCATTTGTTACTGAATTGAGGCTTGAGGGATTGTTACTGCTGAAAGAACCTCTTAACAATAAGGATTATGTTCAGAAACAGGCTCTTGCTGCCTCCTTTCCTGGAAGGCTTGCAGCCTGTTGCTCCCCTTTCAGCATCAGCTGGAGTGCACAGACAGATGGCTGGCTAGGATGACCCTCCATTGGCATGCAGACCTTAGGACGTCCAGCTGCTCACTTCCAACGCTGCTTCCCCTTCTTCCCAGGCTGAACACCCAAACCCAGGAGTTCGGTACCCTGGCACCACACGGGTAGCCTACCTCCCAGACTGCCCTGAGGGCAACAAGGTGCTGACCCTGTTCCGAAAGGCATTTGACCAGCGTCTCACCTTCACTATCGGCACGTCCATGACCACAGGGAGACCAAATGTCATCACCTGGAACGACATTCACCACAAGACCAGCTGCACAGGGGGACCCCAGCTGTGCGACTCCTCTTCATTTCTCTCCCCTTGGCTCCTCCTTTTCTCTTAATTTCCACGGAGGGAAGAATATCCACCCTCTCCCTCCAGGAGCTTCCTAACTGGAGAGGACTACCCCAAACTGTTCAACTATCTCTTCCATTCCATCTCCTGATTTCAACCTGAATCTGATATGCCTAACTTAACCTAGAAAAATATGAAGAATCAGCCTTGGGTTTGGAGGGAATCAGCCTTAGGGGAGGTGGGAAGGGATCTGAATGGGGCCTGTACAGAATCACACAGAATGAGGGTGGATATGGGAATAGTAAGTTCAAGCCCAAACAGCTAACCCTGGCCCTCATTTCTCTTTGCTCCCAGGTTTGGGTACCCGGACCCCACCTATCTGACCCGTGTGCAAGAGGAACTGAGAGCCAAGGGTATCACAGATGACTGAAGGACATCCCTTTTGCCACCTTGCTGTCCTCCTCTACTAGGACCCAGTGGAAGCCTCTGTTCTCCTCTCCCCCTGCCCTCCACACCACACAAGTAGGGGACCTGTCTGACAAGGAGGGAGTTCAGAGGGGAAGGGACAATCCCTTTCCCTGTCTCCTGTTGGCCAAGTGCTTCAGTGCCCTGTGAGCCACTCCCTTCTGGCAGAGGCTGGTCTCCAAGCTCTGCTCCCTGCTCCCCTGTACATACTCCCAGTTCCCCTGCCCCCCCTTTGCCCTGGCTTTTTCTGGTATGTGCTGTGCTCCACTGACTAAGCTGAGAAAGGACCTGGGTGGGCAGGATCAGGTCTCTCGAACCCCCACCCCCACATACTGCTCCACTATGGACTTATGTGACACCTCCTCTCCTAGGAGCCAGCTGTGGTGTGTTCATAAGATACAGTTCTCCTACCTTAATCTTGTCCTTTCTCTCCTGTGTCTCTGTCTCTGTCAGTCTGTCTTTTTCCTATCTTCTCTGGCCCCTATACAGAGATCTCCTTACTCTGTTCTGGAATCACCGCCAGACTGTAGCTTTTAATTTAATAAAAATAAAGTAAAATATGCAACTCTCTATGCCACACCCATTCTGTTCCGTGGACAAGGAGGGGGTGGGGTGGGAAGCAGGCTCTGCTGAGAAGGGGGAAGGGGGAAATGGGGGAATCCCATTTTCCTGTGCTTGCTGAGGACCCAGGGAAGCAGGATATAACTAGTGGACTCCGTAATCGCATTGGGAAGTGCTGAGCCGTGTTGAGATCGGGATTAAGAGGGGTTTGTGGCTGAACTATGGTTGTACAGAAGAGGACAACCCTACCTCTTTTTCGAAGTTTGGCTGGGGTGAGAGTGGAGGCGGAGCCGCACTGGGGGCGGATTCAGCAGCAGCAACTCCCCGGACGCGCGAAGGTCTCAGAGGCCCCCAGCTTCCGCACCCCCTCCACCTTGAAACTTGGAGCTGGGTAGGGGTCCAGCATGAAGCCCCCGGACCGCCCCGCCCCTGGCCGCACTGACCGGATACTGGGGGTTATGGGGGGCTTGCTTCGCACATGCGCCATACCCGGGCAGGAGGGGGTAAGAAGGGGGGACCGCAGTGGGGTCGGGGGTCTTTATGGGGCTTTCAGCAGGACTGCATCCTACAACTCAATTTATCCACAAACAAGCGTAAATTTGCAGAGCAGTCGCTGGGTTTCAAGAGTTACAAGGGCCGGAGCCACGTTGTGGGAGACCTTTTCATGACAATGTGGATTTTGACAGGAAGGAGATCAAGGCTGCTTAGGAGGGAGCGTTCTTTACAGTCATTCTGTCCCCGCAGACCCCGAAGAGAAACCCCGTAGGGTCGGGGTGTACTGAACCAGAGAGCAACTGTTCCGAGGGGGATCAGAGAGGGGAGCGCGATCAGGAGGTCCTCGCTTGGGCTCCGCAGCCCGGTAAGAAGCTGGGGTGGGGTGGGGCACAGTTTGCCATCCTGCGCAAAGTGGCGATTTCAAAAATATTCTCCTTAGCATAGAGGTTCGCATCAAATTTGCATGAGACCCATTTAACCGCAGAGACCTCCATGCTCCTCTTAGCCCGACTAGTCTGAGGTGTGTCCCCCACTTCAGTCGGTCCTGAGCCCCCGCAGGCGGGGTGTCCCTGTGCCCTACCCCTGGCCCCTCGCCAGCCCAGGCTCCAGGACTTCGCCTTAATTGGTGATTAGTTTTAGCTGGAGTCCCAGGGCCTGGAGGAAAGAAGGGTCCAGTGAGAAGGCGGCACCTAGGTTGTGTTCCCCACAAAGAGCTCCCCGTACACGCACCCCCCCCCCCCACCTGGCACCTGGTCCAACCCTGGGAGGCCGGGGACAGACCCAGCCCCAGAACATCTTCACACAGGCCAAAGCCCCGTCTACCGCGTCCTCCTCCACCGAAGAGGCCGAGGGGCGATCCAGGCAGACTCCTCCTCACGGCTCAGCCCCCACCCCGAGCTCCGCAGTGGGACCCGGGGTGCGGGAGGGAGGGGATCCCGGGGCGGGGGAGCCTAGCCGGGGAGGAGGGGCAGAGGCTCTGGGGACGTAGAGTGGCAACGCCGTGGTGCCTGGGGGAGGGGGAATGGGGCCAGAACCCGGCCCCGCTAGCGGGGGAGAGCGCGGGAGAGGCGGAGCCGGCCGCAGAGGCCCCTCCCCGCCGGCACAGCGGCCGGGCCTGTTATTCCGCTCGCCGCTCGGCCCGGACCCGCGCAGCTCCAGTGGTCGGGAGCTGGCCCTTGTCTCCTCTCTGTCCGGGCCTAGAGCCTCCCCCAGCCACGGGCCGGAGACGGAGCTGGAGCGGCTGCCGCATCCCGGCCCTGCCTCCCCCACCATCCCTCCCCTTGGCTGGACATCTGGACCCTGGGCCCCGCACCGGCAGGGTTCCGGAAACCCTCCCCGCCCAGCTCAGCGGCCCAGGCCCGCGCCACCCTCTCTCCTGGGCCCCCAGCCCTCCTCCAGACCAGACTTCCGCCTACTCCTGGACACCCCCTCCCCATCCCCTCCTTGCCCCCCTCCCCCAGCCTGGACCCCGGTAGGAGGAGGGGGTGTGCGCCTTGCGCCGTTCCCGCCCCGCCCCCCGTGATTCCCCCTGCATGGCCGGCCCGGGTGGGGGGCGCGGGGGGGCCCGGGCGCCATGCGGGGGGGGCACAAGGGGGGCCGTTGTGCCTGTCCCCGTGTGATTCGAAAAGTGCTGGCAAAATGTGGCTGCTGCTTCGCCCGGGGGGGACGTGGTGAGTGCGAGGTCGCAGGGGCCCAGTGTTGAGTTGGGGACGGGTTTGGGGTTCAGGGCATCTGTTTTCCCTGGCCCTGGGGAATTTAGAGCTGGAGTATATGTTTTCCAGGAAAGTGACTTAATAGATGATCTCTAAGGTCCCTTTTACCTCCAGATTTCTGTTCCAAGTTAAAAGAATTTGGGGAAGGGGCAAAAACTGCTATCTCTTTCTAATAGTCAACTAGATTTGAAGGGGGGAAAAACACCCACAATCCCCTTGGGCATCGAACCTTAAAATCATTTTGCTGAGAATCTTCTTCGGAAGAGGGACAGAAGGACTGAGGAACGAGGAGCTTCTACAAGGGGCTTTGTAAGAACTCCAGTCGCAGCTGCTTTCAGCAGCTGGCCAGAGATAACACTGATGCGCTCTACTCATTGGCCCCCTCTGTTGGGTGTGTGCTTGTGTTGGGGAGGTGGGCTGCAGAAGTCTTTTCTTTTTATAATGATTAGCACAATTGGAGGAGGAGGGGTCAGGGGGTGGCTGGATGGACTCTAATCTCTTTTTCTCCCACCCCTCTCCCTGAGAATGGTCTGTACCCATTGGAAGGGGGAGGGTTATGGGAGAGCAGATGGTTACCCTCAGATTCTGATGTCTGCCCAGATGGCCACCCCCGCCCCCGTATCTGTTCTGTGCTCAGGATATGGGAAACCTTCACAACTAACTGGGGGTTCCAGGCTTGGGGAGCCAGGTGTTTACTGTCCTTCCACTCCAGGAAGCCCTGGTGAAATTTTCTATCCTAGCCAACTCAAATGAGGGAAGTAAAAGAGCAAGCTTCTCAGAGGGAGGAGCTGAATGTAATGAAGAGGAGAGTAGTTCCCTGGAGATCTTGAGTCTGGAACTAGGCAATATGTATCACCTGCTTTCTTTTTTTCCCCTATTAGAATCCTATTCCATTACTGGCAGTGAGGGGAGTATATCAGCTTCTGCTGCTTCCGGTCTGGCTGCCCCTTCTGGCCCCAGCTCAGGCCTCAGCTCTGACCCCTGTTCCCCAGCCCCTCTAGGGCCAGTCAGTGGCCTGAGGAGATGGTTGGATCATTCCAAGCATTGTCTTAGTGTGGAAACTGAGGCAGACAGTGGCCAAGTGGGACCATATGAGGTGAGCAGGGAGTACCACAGAAGCATGAATGACACTGGGACAGAGGGAAAGTTGGGGCCATTGGTCTGACCAGTGATGCTTGACCTCTGGCTCCAGAACTGGATGCTTGAGCCAGCGCTAGCCACAGGAGAGGAGCTGCCAGAACTGACCTTGCTGACCACATTGTTGGAGGGCCCTGGGGATAAGACACAGGTATGAAGAAATTGGTCTTGGAGGGCTCACTTCACCCAGCAGATGTGCATTTGCTGACTCACGGATGTTCTTTCCTTCCAGCCACTTGAAGAGGAGACTTTGTCCCAAGCATCTGAGAGTGAGGAGGAACAGAAGAAGAAAGCTCTGGAAAGGAGTATGTAAGTGTCCACAGCCCCAACCCTACCCCCACCTCCACCCATTGAAGAACTCACATTTTAGATGGAATGTCCTCTGAGGCAGTAGTGATGAAGGGGCTTCTAGTCCAAGAGGGAGGAACTAGCTAAACTAAGGATATACCCAGACTGAAGTGGGGGGAACCTCTTGCTCCCTCCCTAGGTATGTCCTGAGTGAACTGGTAGAAACAGAGAAAATGTATGTGGACGACTTGGGGCAGATTGTGGAGGTAGTGCCACCTTTTACCCTTTCTCTCCTTTTATCCCCTAGCCTACCAGCCCTTTCTCTCTGCCTGGGGGTATTTTTAAGAGATGCCTTTTTCCCACCCTCTCAGGCCCCCACTTCTACACTTCTTGGTAGGGGATTCCCACCAGGGCTGGGGCCATATGCTTGTGTTCTTATCCCAACTTTCCCACAGGGTTACATGGCCACCATGGCTGCTCAGGGGGTTCCTGAGAGTCTTCGAGGTCGTGACAGGATTGTGTTTGGGAACATCCAGCAAATCTACGAATGGCACCGAGAGTAAGTTTGCGAGCCTGAGAGCTAGGTGCTGAGAGGGGATTCCATTTAGCCAACTCTGTACTTCAACTATCAGTCCAATGGGACTCAAGGAATATTTGGAGAAATTCTGCAGGGAACACAGCTAGGGTACCTAGCTGGAATCAAGGATATGCTTAAGGATGTAAGGGTTCTGAAATGTATTTGACTTGCCTTTTTCTGCCAACCCTTCCAGCTATTTCCTGCAGGAGTTACAACAGTGTTTGAAGGATCCCGATTGGCTGGCTCAGCTCTTCATCAAACATGTGAGATTTAAGAGGGTGGAGTCTAGGGAAGGAGAGGCTTGGGATTGGGGCTAGGCTCTTTGGAAATGTGCTCTTCCTCACCCACCCTGCTCTTTTCAATGTTACACTTGTTAGGAACGAAGGCTTCATATGTATGTGGTGTACTGTCAGAATAAGCCCAAGTCAGAGCATGTGGTATCAGAGTTTGGGGACAGCTACTTTGAGGTCAGTGGCTGAGGTGCCTTGGGTGAAAGAGAACAGAATCAGCATGAGAAGACTTTCCAGGATGAATAACCAACCTGTCCCTGTCCCTAGGAGCTCAGGCAGCAGCTGGGGCACCGCCTGCAGCTCAGTGACCTCCTCATCAAACCTGTGCAGCGGATCATGAAATACCAGCTGCTGCTCAAGGTCAGGATCACCTTCTCCCTGGGGGCACAGTTGGCTGGGAAATGCATACATCTCCCCAGGGTTCTTAAAACTTCCCAGAGTTCCTTACCTGTGTCCTCAAGGAAGGCTGTGAGGGCTTTTAAGGAAGTCCTTCAGACCTCCCTGAGCATTTCTTCTCTCACTCTTAGGATTTTCTCAAGTATTACAGTAGAGCTGGGATGGAAACCAAGGAGCTGGAGGTGAGGACCCCAATCCTTCAAGACCACCATATAGTCTTAGTGTCATGGGTTGCCCCAGCCCCCAGGGTGGTTTAGAGCTGTCTGGTTTTTAGGGGGAGGCTGGTTGGAGTTGACACATATGAAGAGACAGCTGGGTGAAGAGGCATCTTTACCCAACAATGCTCCTCTCTCACCTACATCCCAGCAAGCTGTGGAGGTCATGTGCTTCGTGCCCAAGCGCTGCAATGATATGATGACCTTGGGGAGACTGAGGGGATTTGAGGTATGGAGATGGGGTGGGAAATCGGCAGCTCCATGCTCTCATGCCCAGTCTTATCCTGGAGGTCCTTATGGGGAATTATCTTCTTCTGGGGCTGATTCCATGGTTGGTTGGGATGGTATCAGGAAAGAGAAGAGGAAACATTGGCCCTTTCCCTCTTATATCTCCTCAAAGGCTGTATTCGTTAATTCCAGGGTAAACTCACTGCTCAAGGGAAGCTCTTAGGGCAGGACACTTTCTGGGTCACAGAGCCTGAGGCTGGAGGCCTGCTCTCTTCCCGGGGTCGAGAGAGACGCGTCTTCCTCTTTGAGCAGATCATCATCTTCAGCGAGCCTCTGGGAGGAGGAGCACGAGGTGGCACACAGCCTGGATATGTGTACAAGAGCAGCATCAAGGTGGGGAGGGACCGTGAGGGAGGACCATGACTGGGATGGGGTGATGGCTCTGAGAGGATGATTGGCTGTTGGATTTGTTGGAGGGCCCTGAATCTGGGGTTATTGCCCATCTGCCAATCCAGGTGAGCTGCCTGGGACTGGAGGGGAACCTCCAAGGTGATCCTTGCCGCTTTGCCCTGACCTCAAGAGGGCCGGAGGGTGGGATCCAGCGCTATGTCCTGCAGGCTTCAGACCCTACAGTCAGTCAAGCCTGGATCAAGCAAGTGGCCCAGATCCTGGAAAGCCAGCGGGACTTTCTCAATGGTGAAGCCCCCATCTTCCCTCCTCCACTTGCACCCTCACCCTTTGACTTCCTGAATCACTCACTTCCCAATCTCTAGCCCTGCCCTCTGATCCTAGGTTCTCTCTGCCACCACTTTTTCACAATTAGCTCAAGATTTGGTAACTCAGAATCGCCTAAAGCCCCAAGTATTTTACATTGGCAGATAGTCCTTCTGTGGGAGGGCAGAATGGGAGGGTGACACAAGTAGAGCCCTCGAGAAAGGGACCTGTCTCTGCTGTAACCTTCCTTCTGTTCCTCTTTGCTTCAGCTTTGCAGTCACCCATAGAGTATCAGAGACGAGAGAGCCAGACCAACAGCCTGGGACGGCCAGGAGGGCTTGGGGTAGGGAGCCCTGGGAGAATACGGCCTGGAGACCGGCCCCAGGTCAGCACTCACACGCCCATCAACGGCTCTCTCCCCTCTCTGCTGCTGTTGCCCAAAGGGGAGGTGGTCAGAGCTCCCCTGCCTCTGGACACTCAGGTATGAGGACTGTAGTTCCTTGGTTGTAAGGACAGAATGGGGAGAACCTCTTTTGTTCCCAGATCCCCAAGTCCCCCTCACCCATGTTATCTTTACTTTTACTACCTTCCTTTTGTGTGCCTCTTCCTACTTCCAATCCCTTATTTTCTTCCCCTCTATTTTAACTCTGGGGCAAGTGGAGGGGGCTTGACTAGAGGCTGAAATTGAGAAGAGAGGGGTGAAGGTAGATTGTTGGCTTTGCTGATCCTCTGACTTGAATCTTTTTTCAGGTCCTTAGTGACACCCTGCCAGCTCCTCATGACTCTCCTCCAGTCCCTCCAGCTCTGAATACCCCTCTCTGCCAGGCAAGACTTGCCAAGCTGGATGAAGATGAGCTGTAACTGGTGCAGGCCATGGGGATATGCTGACTCAGCCACCTGTTCCCCAAGGGACTTCAAGGCAATTCTTCGGGCACCACTCCAGAATTCCTCCTTAGTATGTCTGGAGTGCGAGCAAGGCTGGGAAGATATCAACTTGGAGGAGAGTACCTAGGCCCAAAAAGACTTTTCTGCCCCAAGAAACACAGGATTCTTCAGCTCCATCCCTGTGCATGCATCACCATCCCCTCAAAAGGAGGATTATGTGGGTGGTTGGGAGGGAGGGCTGGGGCAAGGGTTTGGATTATTCTTTGGGTTTTGATTTTGTTTTTCCTGTTTTCTGAGAATGAAAGTTTTGTTGTATCACAGAGGCTGCTGTCTTGCCAGAGGGAAGGAGAGAGAGGTAGTGGGGATAGTGAGGTGAAGTATAGAAGAGGCTAGCTGGCCCCAGTCATTTGAGGAGGGGCTTGGTGAAAGAACTAGTCATAGGGTATAAAAGATGTTGCTGTCTTCATCCCTCACATACAGTTACAGCAGCTCTCAGTCCAGACCTGGGGCCTTGGGCCTTTGGAAGGCCTCAGAATCCTCAATGTATTCTTCCCTTTATCTGGCTCTCCTTCCCTGTAATCCTCCTTCTGGTCTAGACCCCACCAGAAAGCTCAATGTGGTATGACTTCCCACTATTCCCAACTCCCAGACCCTTAAGCACAAATACCCAGTGTACCTGTCCTCCTGCGGCCTCTGTGTTCAGCTGGGGAATGGAAAGATTGATAGGAGGCTGGGAGCCATGGTGCCTTCCTGGCTGGGGTTTTTCCTTGCCATCTGAGAGATGGTAAAGCATATCCATACTGAGCAGGCAGGGATTTATCTTCAAACCCTGATCCAAGAATGGAGAGTCCAAAGGGGTCTTCCCCCTCCAAACTTCTGGCACAGCCCCTGGAACAGCAAGAGCCAAACATGCAGAGATGCAGATGCCCAGATCTAGGTCCTTGTGTATCCACATGTCCACTGTGTCCATTTGTCCCTTGGGCTTAGTCACGTGTTCTGGGGCTTCCTCAGTAGACAATAGACTATTGGGGTGGGAGAGTAAGGAGATGTTGGAGTCTCCCTGAGGGCCCCAGGTCTCTCTGGCCGACAATGAAGGGAGGGATCTCTAAGGGGGGGACAGGACGTAAGACCCAGATAAGATTTCTGGGGAACAATAGAAGGAATTGAGGGGAGCCCCCACCCTCTATGTACCCCACCCCTGGGGCTTTAGGGTCAGGGTCTGGGGAGCCAGAGGATGATAGGGAGGGGTGCCAGAGGTTCTTGTGAATGGAGGAGGGGACTGCAGCTATTAGCAGGATTTGGGAGCTCAGAGCCTTTATATTTCTTTAATGACCACAGTAGGTGGGGTGACCCCTTTGTACTTAGTTTAACCATGCTTGTATTTTTGAGTGCCTACTTTGAGAACAGCACCTGAATGTACTAACCGGTGCTTCAGGATTTCTTTTTTGGCTCCCAGGAAACAAAATAATAATGTCATTATTTCCCCTAAAGTGGGTCCAGCCATTCCTTGCAGAAGTGTAGGTGGTGGTTCTATCATCATTGTCTAATATATGTAATTGTTTCCCATCTCAGTAGTTCATGAAACTGTTGAAGCAATTAAGCCCCTTACACGTTCTGGGGCAAACCGTGCCAAATAAGGATTCGAATTTGGGGTGGGGATCCCAACTGTCACTAGACTTTCTTGCTCAGGCAGCTGCAAAAGTGCAGTGGCTAAGGGAAGGACCAATGACCTCAAGAGAAATCAGCCTGTTTCTCCTGAAAATGCAGATGGGAAGGGAAGAGGTGGGGGAATCAAAAGACTTCAGACTAGTAAACAGTGGGTGTTGGCGTTTGCCAGGCTCCAGGACTACTGGCCAGATCCAGCCAAAGATGTCTGAGGAAACGCCTAATACAGGGACCCTCCCCTCCCAAGCCGGACCGGATTAGGTCTCCAGGAGAGGGCGCCCTCCAGGTCCGGATTGGCTCTTGATCCTGGGAGGCGGAACTCAGAGATAGCGGGCCTCCGAATATTTAAGACTGGGAAGAGTCAGAGGGGGCCTAGAGCAAAATGAGTGGGTTACCGGGCACCAGCACCTGCTCAGGCCCTGGAAAGGACTCTGACCTTAAGTCTCCCCTGGGCACCAGGCTCAGAGAACCTCTCACCGAAGCTCGGTTCCAGCAGCTTTTCGGGGGCGCAGAGCAGGAGCCGGAGCCACCCGCGGAGCCCTGCGTGCCCAAGTTGTGCAGGCTGTGGAGGCTGTGGGCGCGCGCCTGCTCGGGGCCGGGAGCGTGGCGCCTGCTTCTGGCCAGGCTGCCCCCGCTGTGCTGGCTGCCCCACTACCGCTGGCGGGCCTGGCTGCTCGGGGATGTGGTAGCCGGAGTGACCGTGGGAGTCGTGCACGTACCACAGGGTGAGAGGCCCCCAACCCAAACCAGTCCGGGGCCCAGGCTTTAAAAGGCTTTGGGGAGGAGGCCTGGACAGCTGAAAATCCAGGAGTAAGGCGGTGAGTTGGAGGCTCTGAGGGTTAGGAGAAAGGGACCAGAGACCATGTTCTGGGGCAGGACTGTGGCACTCCATCACATCCCCACCCCCATCTCTCCTCATCTGTTCAATCTTGTGAGACGCTTGGATCGGTTTCAGCTCAGGCAAGAGACACAAGCCTACCTCCCAGGACGAGGGCCGACACGGGACTGTGGCCTGGTCAGCCTTAGGACCTCTCACGGAGGTCCCTTAACGCCTCAGTTCCCCCTGTGGCATGAGTTAGCCAGGGGTACTGCCCACCCCTGCCGCACTGCCGACCTCTTCTTCCACCTTCCCCTAGGCATGGCATTTGCCCTCCTGACCTCTGTACCCCCGGTGTTTGGACTGTACACTTCTTTCTTTCCCGTCCTCATCTACAGCTTGCTGGGCACTGGGAGACATCTTTCCACCGGTGAGTGTCCAGGGACTGTGCATGACTCGTCTCCTTCCCTGTGGGGTGAGAATGAGCAGGAACTCCAGGCATCCTAGAAAGCCTCAGAGCTGTAGTCTTCTCTTCATCTCTTCCTCCTTCCCTTTCCTCCTTGTTGCTGCTCTGTATGAAATTCTGGCCTAGGCATGCTTACTGGAGTGGGTGTAAAGAGGCAGGAGTTCTCTTGGACCCTCCTCCCCCAAGAAATTTGGTTAAAATGAACATTTCCTGGGCAGGAAGGGGAGGAAGAGATGTACTGTGTCCCCTCCTCCCCAAGAGTCGCCCGCGGGCCTGGAGGCTGCTGGAGGGACGCTTGTGACCAGCTCCACTCTTCTCCCCTTCCTCCCCGCGGTTCGGGTCTGCCACACCAGCTCCCGGTCTTTATTTACGCTGGCAGTCGCTTTCCTGGTGAGCCGGTCGGTCGGACTGCAGCATCCCAGGTTCCAGAACAGCAGAGCCAGCTGTTACCTTGCTAAGGGAGGCACAGTTGGTGATCTTTGCCTTTGTTCCCCCCCCCCCCCCGGCTCCAGGCACTTTCGCGGTACTCAGCCTCATGACAGGCTCGGCGGTCGAGCGACTAGTGCCCGAACCCCTCGAGGGGAACCTGAGCAGAATCGAGAGGGAGCAGCTGGATGCTCAGCGGGTCGGGGTGGCCGCGGCCATGGCCTTCGGGAGCGGGGCGCTGATGGTGAAGGAGGACCAGGGGAGCGCCCTGGGGGACGCATCCACGCTGGGGGTCTGGGGTGGTGACTGGGCCAGCGAGGAGGGAGGGGCAACCTCCCGCACAGGTGTGGGGGGGCTGCTGATGCACAGCACCCTGGCCAGTCTGCTCCTGCTGCTCTTGGTGACCGCGCAGCTTCTCCTCCGCAGCTGGGGATGTTCGTGCTGCAGCTCGGTGTCCTGTCCACCTTTTTGTCCGAACCCGTGGTCAAGGCTCTGACCAGCGGGGCCGCGCTGCACGTGCTGGTGTCCCAGCTACCAAGCCTTTTGGGGTTGTCTCTCCCGCGCCAGATGGGCTGCTTCTCTCTCTTCAAGGTGGGGGTGGGAGAACAGCGGAGCTAAAGCTTCCAGAGGTCTCAGAAGAGGGGGGACCTGAAAAGGGAGGAAGGACAGAGGGTGGAGGGTCGGTGTATGAAGGGCGAAGAAGAGGTCAAGGGACCGTGTGGCGGCGGGAGGGCGCTGCAGAGGTGGAAGCCCTGACGACAGAGCCGGGAGAGCGGGCTTTGCCTCGGCCTGGTGGGTCGGTGCTGGGGCGGGGCGGGGCAGCCAGCCCGGGACCCGCCCTCTGCTCACTGCCCCTACCCACAGACGCTGGCTGCCGTGGTCACGGCGCTGCCCCGGAGCGGTCTGGCCGAACTGACCATCTCCGCGCTCAGCCTGGCGCTGCTCGTTCCGGTCAAAGAACTGAACGTGAGGTTCCGAGACAGACTACCCACCCCGATCCCAGGGGAAGTCGTCATGGTGAGGATGGCCTGGGCTCCCAATTCCCTGTCCTGCAGGGACCCTGCCCATCCTGTAGGAACTGGTCGCTGCCGCCCTCTTGTGGAATGCAAAGAGGTCACAAACAGAGGTTCCTGTACTTTTTCAGGCCACCCACCGGAGCGCTTTGACCCTCCAGAATCCCCCACCCACACTGTCAGACTTCTGGTCGTGAGCCCTCTGCAGACTGCTTACAATGCCTTCTTCCTCCATACAGCGCCCCCTTGCGGTGTCCCTCTTTACAGCAACTTCTCATCTCACAGGACTTACTGTTATCCAGTGTTATCTCCCTTTCCATTCTCCACTTAGATTGCTCTTTCCGACTAAATAAATGTTACATGCCTTTACAGATGGCCCCTGTACGCCAATATACAGTCCAGCCTCCCTACTTGGAATGGCTCAATTGCATTTCTTGATATCCACCACCCCCATAGATGTCCTTTCTTTACTTGCATTTTTCCATAACTCAAGGAATGCTTCATTCCTCCTTCCCAACCTTAACACTCCTTGACTTTAAATGAACTGTCAGGGACCCATCTCAAACATACCGCAGTCCTACCGGTTATTAGAGTCCTGTGAACACCCAGTCCTGCATCGTGACCCTCCATCATTTCAGCCTCTTTTAGACTTCTCTTCCTAGTGAGCCCTGACATGATCTCTTCCCCAGGTGCTTCTGGCTTCTCTGCTCTGCTTCACCTCTTCCCTGGACACAAGATATAATGTCCAGATAGTGGGTCTGCTGCCTGGAGGGTAAGAAAGAATGAAAAGATACCAGCTTTTTCTTCCCCCACCCTCCCACCAGCAACTCCTCTGGTCCTGCCCAACCCTCTTTGCTCTGCCTTCCCTCTCTCCCTGCAGCACCCAGCCCATCCTTACCATGGATCCCTCCTTCTCCAGATTTCCCCAACCCCACCTCCCCAACCTGGACGAGCTGCCCAGGATTCTGGCAGACTCACTGCCCATTGCACTAGTTACTTTTGCTGTGTCTGCCTCGCTGGCCTCCATCTATGCAGACAAGTATAGCTACAGCATTGACCCCAACCAGGTATGATTTTAACTGTGGACCTCAGCCTCATTCAGAAGACAAATCCCTAACCTGACTCCCCCTATGTTTTTGTCTCTCTCCTGTTCATCTCACTGCATCCCTGCAGGAGCTCTTGGCCCATGGTGTCTCCAACCTCATTTCCTCCCTCTTCTCTTGCTTCCCTAACTCGGCCACGCTGGCCACAACCAGCCTACTAGTGGATGCTGGTGGGAATACTCAGGTAAGAGGGTGTTCGTGTGTGAGGAGAAAGGATGGGACATTCAGGCTGGGTGGCAGTGGTGGAAGACTGGTAGTTACTTGGTGGCATCTATACAGAGGAGAATGGGAATCAAGGGCCAGGGAATAAGGGATGGGATTATAGACAGGAACAACAGAAGATAGCAAGGCTTCATTTTCACGGTGACCTTTGTAAGCTTTAATTACTGAAGAAGTTTATGGTGCCCCAGATATAATTCAAAATAAAACAATACTTAACTACAAAATAACTTAATAGGTGAAATTTTGATTTTTTTGTGTGGTACTGGGGATCAAAAGCCTTATGCAGACTAGGCAAATTGCCCAATGATCTACATCCCCAGCCCAAAATTCTTTTCTTTTCAATGAGAATAGCTCCCTTCCCACCTTCCATACTGGGGACTGAACCCAGAGCTTTCATGCTGAGCTACATCCCAGCCCTTTTTGTTATCTTTGAGACAGGGTCTCACTAAGTAACTAAGTTGCCCAGCCTGGGCTGGAATTTGCAGTCCTCCTGCCTCAGCCTCTTAAATGCTGGGATTACAGGTGTGCATCACTACACCTGGTGAGTACATTTTCTTTTCTGTTTTTTTGTTTTTTTGAGACAGGTTCTTGCTATGTAGTTCAGACTGGCCTTGACTTCCCTATGTAGCTCAGGCTGGCCTTGAACTCGAAGTGATCCTTCTGCCTCACCCTTTTAAGTGCTAGGATTACAGGTGTGTGCCACCATGCCTGGCAGGACAAATTTTTTTTTCTAGAAGAAATATCACAAGCTGGGCATGGTGGCACACACCTATAATCACAGCACTTGGGAGGCTGAGGCAGGAGGATTGCAGCTAGTTTGAGGCCAGTCTCAGCTACCTAGTGAGCTCAAGGCCAGCTTGAAACTCATAGTGAGATCCTGTATCCAAAAAAAAAAAAAAATCACCTATCGGTATCTATATTTTTGGCTTTTCTTACTTTACTGGTGTTATAAGCAAGCAGTTAGCCTGCTTATAGGATGATTCAACAGTGGCTTTGAAGATGGAAATGGGCTACAAAAATAGCCCACTATAGTATGTGAACTACATCTGGGGGAAAGTGATGAATGAAAGGCATTGAATTGGGTATGTGTGAATGGCAAAATATCAAGAAGAGGATTGAGGAGTGAGAAGTATCTGTAAAGAAGATTTAGGAGGAAGGAGACTTCTGAGGAAGATGAGGCAGTGTATGTGGAGAGATCAAGTCTCATTTGGGAGGGAGCTTCCCTCCCTTCCACTCTTCCATCCCTCATCCCCTCTAGTTGGCAGGGCTCTTCTCCTGCACAGTGGTCCTGTTGGTGCTGCTGTGGCTGGGACCCTTCTTCTACTATCTGCCCAAGGTAGGGAGCAGAGGCAGCATGAGTGTACCTGAAGGGGGGTGGCTGTATTCCAGGACATTGGGGAAGTAGCCCACCTCCTCTGCCCACAGGCTGTCCTGGCTTGCATCAACATCTCCAGCATGCGCCAGATGTTCTTCCAGATGCAGGAACTTCCACAACTGTGGCACATCAGCCGAGTGGACTTTGTGAGAAATGGCAACATTGTCCTCATCTTCCCAACATCGCTAGCCTCTGCCCTGGGACAATAATGACTGCCTTGGTCCTAAGTCTATGACCACCCACCCCAATACACATACCTTCTAAAACCCTTTACTAAGAGACAAGAGGAAGGGTGGGCTTTGACCCCCTCAGGCCTAAATCTTTGTAACCTCCCAACTGAGGTGTGGTCTGAGGTCCTTATGATTCCTGTGTATCCCATTGAGTCAATCCTGTCCCTTCCTCTGCCGTTTCCTACTTTCTCCTGGGCCAGCCCTCCCCATCATTTGCCTTGGCAGTCACTGCCCTTGGACCCCAGTCTTCTGGTCATCCACCCCTATCTATGTCCTGCAGGCTGTATGGATGGTCACATGGGTGGCTGTTGTGACCCTGAATGTGGACCTGGGCCTGGCCGTAGGCATGGTCTTTTCCATGATGATGGTGGTCTGTCGCACCCAGAGGTGGGTCAAGATGATGGAGAGAGAACAGTTTGTGGAGGATGATGCTAGTCAGGCCAGGCTGGGCTGGGAATCTGACCCCAGCTTCTTCCATAGGGTGAAGTGCCTGGCACTTGGATTGGCTGAGGGGACGGAGCTGTACAGGCCACTCAGAGAGAGCCACAAGGTGGGTGGGCTATGACCAAAGAAGGAAGGGAAAATTGGACCTGGTTTACTTCTTTTTTGGTACTGGGGATCCAACTCTGGGCCTTGTACTTTTGAGGCAGGCGCCAGAACCACTGAGCTAAATCCCCAGCAACCTGGTTTACTTCTTACCCTCTCACCCTTAGCTCCTCCAGATCCCAGGTCTCTGCATCCTGAGCTACCCAACACCACTCTACTTTGGGACCCGTGGTCAATTTCGCCGCATCGTAGAGTGGCACCTGGGGCTTGGGGGAGGCAAGGTGAGGAACTTAGCCAGGGAGGAGAGTGGATCTCCAGGACTGGGAGGCAGGTGTGTATCCTGAGGAGTCTGTGCTCAAGGGGTCCATGTTCATGCTTTGACAATGACTGCCCTTCTCTACTTACAGGAGTCTCCAAAGCCAGGTGCCCTACCTGACACAGGTGAGATGGGATGCAAAGGAGGAAGACTTGGGCATGATCCACAGAGCTATATGAATGTTCCTGCTTTCTCCCACCTTAGTTGGCGAGCCTGTCAGAGTGGTGATCCTAGACTTCAGTGGTGTCACCTTTGCAGATGCTGCTGGGGCCAGGGAAGTGGCACAGGTGAGGGAGTGGATAGTTTTACAAGAAACCCTTATCATTGCACTCATACCCTCTGATTTGGGGTTCAACTTCTCTGCCCTACCCCTGCAGCTAGCTGGCCAATGCCAAGATGCTGGGATCTACCTTCTCCTAGCTCACTGTAATGGTCAGTGGTGTGGAGGATGGAAGGATGAGGGACTGGGGAATGACTGGACATGTGGAGTGGTGGGGGGAGGATGCAGTGGAGAGTTAGACCCCCCGAGCCTGACACTGTCCCCACACAGCCTCAGTACTGGAAACACTGATCCGGGCAGGAATCCTGGACAGAGTGACTCCAGACCAGCTATTTGTGAGTGTCCAGGATGCAGCTGCGCATGCCCTGGCAAGACTGGTAAGGGGCAGTAGCATCAGGAGTGGGATCAGGAAGTGTTGGGCAAGGGCAAGGAGGGTGGTAGGTGAGTGGCTAAAGATCCAAGAACAGGAACTTGGGAAAGGGGCTGGGGAGGAAAGAGTGGGGAGGTCAAGATTAGTGGATTTGAAACCAAGTCTGGGAGACTGGGCCAAACTGGAGGAAGAACTGAATAATTTAGGTCCCAGAGGAGTGGCAGAGTACTGCTAAATCTCAGCAAGGGAGCAGGTGCCTAATCTACTCCAACCTTTTCCCTCTCTTCCCCAGGAACGTACTGGCCTAAAGATCTGCACAGTGTGGGTCTGACCAGGTCACTTGGGATTTGGAGGCTTCCGAAGATGTGTGTGTGAGAAGTGCCATGGTCCCTGAGCCTGCTTAATGTAACTAATAAAATGAAGCCAAGAGCCTCTGGGGTCCATGAAGTGGCTCTGGGTGTCTGCATGTGGACACCTGGTGCCCCTCCCTCTGTGCCCACAGCATGACAGAGACACGAGTAAAAATGGCTTTCACCATGTGTTCACCAGCCCCACCCCGCTCCAGAGCCACACATTCTTTCTGGAGGATGGGCTGAGCGGTGCACAGAGTCCTAGATCCAGAGCTCAGGGTGGGGAGGCATAGTCCTGGGATTGCATACTGGGGAGCTTCCCCACCCCCTCAGTCCCAAGGAGATGAGAGGAGTGTTTCCACTTTGGGGTCTTAGAGTCCTCCTGGGCTCTTTGGCACTTGGAAAGTGACCCCCCCCATTTCGTGCCCCATAAGAATGGGGTGGGGGAGGACTTGGCACTGGCTGTGGGAGAAGTTATGGCTCCATCAGGCCCCTGGGCACTCAGAAAAGAGGGGTGTCACCAGGACAAACCCCTGTGAGACCAGGTTCTCAGGGGAGGTGTGAGGGATGTGGAGGTCAGGGACAGTCAGTGGAGTGCTCACTGGGTGGAGGGGGTTGCTGGAAAATCCTGGCAGGGACAAAGAGGCAGGCCCAGCCTGACAAGAGGAAGGCCTCAATGGCCATCATTCCGCAGTCATGCACTGCAGCCGGTGTTTGAAGAAGAGCAGGCGGTGTTTGGCCACCTGACTTTCGTCCAGTGATCCGGGGTAACGGTACCGGGCATAAGTCTCTGCCCCTGCGTCCCTTGATCCCCAAGGCAGCTTCAACTTCGATGCATGATCCACAACGACATCTGAACAGGAGCCAACCTGAAGGGAACCAAGTCCATCCAGGAAGAACTCTGGGGGTAGAGGGGAGGGGAGCACACAATGAAGACTCCTGAGAGTGCAGAAGGCCCACCCCTAACCGAAACTGGAATTTAGGGCCTAGGAGGTGCCGGGACAGTGGCAGGGGAAGTTAAAGGTGGCCTGGGGGCTGTAGGGGTGTGGAGATTTGCATGGTTTACGGGGCGGGGCGGGAGAGGGCAGGATCTCTCTCTCTCTCTCTCTCTCTCCCTCTCCCCCTCTCCCTCTCCCTCCCCCTCTCCCTCTCCCTCTCTCTCTCCCTCGCCGTTGGCAAGTCATGGTAGATCTTTGGCAAACTGCTTTAGGAGTCCAGGTGGCAGCGGCAGGGCAGGCGTGGACAGGGAGGAGGGCGGGTGCACGGTTCCTGGTTGCATCGGCTCCCCAGCGCCTTGCAGGGTGTCTCCGGCCGGGAGGGGGCGCCACTCACCCAGATGTGCCACACGGCTGAGGCGCGGGTCGAAGCCAACCTCTCGCACCTTGTCGGTGCGCGCCAGGAAGAAGTTAACCACGCCGTCTGTGACCACGCAGCCTGGGAAGCCAACGAGCTCGTGGTGGAAGCCGCGCCTTTGCCGGAAGCAGTTCCCAAGGCCTGGGGCGCCGGGGTCCATGCTCAGCAGCTGCCGGTATGTGGTGGCAAAGCCCGTGATCTCGCGCACGGCGCCTCCCACCTGCGGGGAGTGGGAGGATGGATGCAGGTGGGGCGAGAACGCCAAGAGTGTAGGTTTGTGCTTCTTCCCCCGGACTTGGTCCCCCCATCCCCTGCCGCTCCGCCTCTGTACAATGCGGACAGCCCCAGCTCCCCAACCCCTACTCCACTTCCTCGGCCTCTCTGCGGCTGGCCGAGGGCCCTGTCCCGACCGCAGCGCTCTCGCCTTCGTCTGATTCCTTGTCCCACCCGACAGCTGCGCCCTCCACTACCAGGTCCAGCGGCGTCCGCTCCAGCACGTCCACAAGCCGCTCCAGCCGCGTGCGCGCGGTGAAGATAAAGTCGTCGTCCACCCACAGCACGTACTTGGTGGTTACTTGGGACACGGCCAGATTCCGTCCTGCGAACCAGCCCTGGGGGTGCGCGGTGGGAGGTTGTACGGTTATGAAGTCTATAGAAATAAGACACCCCTATTGCTTTTCTTCCTCTCGTGACCCCTGGAAACGGCCTATGCCTTTCTCTAAACTTCTGGGTGCTTTCCAATTACCAGAAGCGAGGTCCAAAAGGTGCAGACTCCCACCCTCACTCCTAGAGGTGAGTCAGTGTTCCGGAAGGGAGGATCTTGAATGCTTTAAATCAGGCCTGCGTTCACTCACTAACTCCTGGATTATGTTACTGAGCGCCCAGGAGGTACTGAGCACCATTCTAAGAATTCAGAGTGAATAAGACCGTCAGGATTCCTGCCTCTTCAGAGCTCTTACATTCCAGGAACCCTGGAGCGAGGCAGTCTTCCAATTACTACCCTGGAGGGACGCAGACTAAGGGGACAGCCCATCCCAAAGTCCACAGGTGCCAAGCTCGGCCTTGCAGGCTGCGCACCTTGCCAAAGGGCATGAGATAATGCTCCACGTGAGGGCCGCTAATTCGATCTGGCTTGTCGCTGTCGTCAGCGATGACCACAGTGACGGTGGGGTAGAAGCGTCGGATGCTGGCGATGAGTGCCCGTAGCCGATCATATCGAAGGAACGTTTTGGTGGCAATGGTGACTAGAGCGCTGATGTTGTACTGGGCTGGGAGAGAAGACTCAGGGTTGGGTGCAGAGAGGGCAAATGGGGAAAGAAGCAGGAAAGACCCGCTCCCAGGGTTGCCACCTCCCACCTTGCTCCCCACCAAGGTTGGGTCTACTACCTCCCTGCCCCAACTGGCCTCACCTCCCTGGGGTTGAGATCCAGGCGGGTACAGCCGGGGGTTGGGAGGATGTCTTATGCGGATGGTGAAGGCAGCCTGGTGTCCCTCTGTGGAGAACCGGACTGAGAAAAAAAGACATGAGATTGGAACCTTAAGGTTTGGACAACATTCTCTTTTCAGTGGATATAAAAAAGGGATTCAACCACAGCCATCCTGGTCTAAGCAGAGATCACTTTAAATCCCTTCCCCCATTTGCCTACACCTGCTGCAGAGGTGTTATGTGACTATAAGAGGCAGTAAGCACAGTCATACCCTATAATTCCCAATCATTGTTTAACCCTGCTCTTGACAAACAACACCCAACTCCTTGTATGTCCTCAAGCCCTGTCCTGGGCAGATTGCCACAACTCCTTTGTTCTGAACTCTCTCCTTTGAAAGTCCCAATGTGACTTTTTACTTCCACAGCCCCCTTTGTTATGCTCATGACCCTATAAAGACCTTATAGCCTGTAAGACCGGGGCAGGTCTGGTCTCTAGTGCCAGAGTGGTCCCTCTCAGGTTTGTTCTGAAATAAACCTGTCTTGTTGAGCTGTAGTCCTGCTTTTCCTTTTTGTCCCAACAGTAAGGAATGTAGTGTCAGTCATGTTAAGGACGCAATGACATCACAGTGTACTGGCAGCTGAGGTGAAGAGTTTTTAAAAACTCTAGGAGAGGGCCAGGGATTTAGCTCAGTGGTTTCACCGCCTGCTGCACAAGTGCAAGAACCTGAGTTTGATCCCTGGTACCAAAAAAATTAAAATTAAAAACTCTAGGAGAGCAACACCCCAAAACGATGATTGATTACACCCCCAAAGAGATGCTCAACTACTATAGCTGGAGCAACAAATAAGACGGCTAAAAATTTACCACAAAAACCATGTATTAACAAACAAACAAAAAAGCTGCTAATCATGTGATAATCTTCAATCAAAGGCTGAGCTTCACTTAGTTTAATTTCTTTCTTTTTTTGGTTCCGGGGGTCAAACTCAGGTCCTCTGCTTGCAAGGCAGGAGTCGAAACCATTGAGCTAAATCCCCAGCCCCTGAGCTTCACTTAGGAGCCAGTACTCTAGCCTCAAGGGACAGACTCTACAAGACCTCTGTTAAAATATGATGTACTCTCTCAGCTTACCTCAAACTGGGTGTAAATTCTGTTCTGTGAGTGAGTCAGGCTCAACTTAGTCCCATATTCATATAAATGACCAGAACCAAAACTTTATACCTGTTTGTGTGTGCCTCATAGAATAAGGGTTTGTGGGGCCGGGGATTTAGCTCAGTGGCACCTCGCCTGTCTCGAAAGCACAAGGTCCTGAGTTCGATCCCTGGTACCACAAAAAATAAAAATAAATAAATAAAAAGAATAAGGGTTTGTTCTATAAATTGATGTGTACATAAACTGCATTTTAATCTGTTCATGTTCTTTACTCTAGTGTAAGGTGCTCATGACAGTGGATCAATATTTCACTGCCTAGTCTGTGGCATGCCTTTCCAGATCTCAGTGGACAAGAACATAAAGTTCTTTAGTTGGGTGGGGTGGTGCACAGCTGTAATCTCAGTACTCAGAAAGCTAAGGCAGAAAGATTCCAAGTTCAAAGCCAGCCTGGGCTACAGAGAGAGTTCAAGACCACATAAATAGATACACTACATGTGTTCTACTACATAGTGAGCCACCATCTCAAACAAACAAAAAACCCCCTCAAAACAACAAACTAACAAAAAATAGCACAATGTTTGTACTCCATGTCTAACAGGTGGGAGAAAGACAAGGAAAAAGTGTTAATTAAAAGCTAACCTTTACTGGGCATTTACTTTGTTCCAGACACTTTTAAAGATTACCTTAAATATTTGAATTCATTTGATCCTCAGGGTAGCTGCATTAAGTAGATTCCTACTACTGTACAGAAAAAGTAGTGGAGGCACAGAAAAGTAACTGGCCCACCTTTATACAACAACAAAGCTCCTAAGAACCTACTCAGTCTGCTCTCAGGATTAAGTAAATAAGAAAATTCAGATACTGGTAGGTATTGAACAGAACACAAGTGATGTACAATAATGATGAAGAGAAGACATTTGAGCTCAGATCTAAATGACAAGCCAGCAATGCAAAAATCTTGGGGAAGAACATTCCAGCACAGAGAATAGCAAGTGCTAAGGCCCTAAGGTGGGAGCAAACTTAGTGTAACAAACAAGCTTTGGAGAAAGGCAAGAGGGCTATTTGGCCCTTTTGCTACAGGAGAAATGGGAGTTATGGAAGGTAAAAGCTTTGTCCTCTAGTAAGTGATGGATTGGGAAAAGAGCCTGAGTCTTCTTGCCATGGGAGCCAGTCACTTCCTGGGGCACCATGGTTGGTCAGAAGTGGGGACACACCCAAGGCTCGAGTTTCCCTCTGGCCTGCTCTGGCCCCAGAGGAACAAAGGCCCCCTTTCTCCATCCCAGTCCTGCTGGCCCAGTTGAAATGCCCATTGTGTGGCTGGGCAGCTCCAGCCACTGCCCGAGTGTGCCCCACAACCCTTTGTCATTGGCCCACTGAAGCCTTTCTGGGACATTTCTGTTCATCCAGGCTCCCCCTGCCTCCACCCAGGCCTCACACCTGTGTCTGCTGTGTTGGCCTGGTAGCTTCGGCTGCTGTAAGTGACCAGTTGCAGCTGCCGGTTGAGTTGGTCCAGCTCTGGGCTGGCAAGGGTGAGATCTGTCTGCCCCTCTCCAGTGAGAGTCACTCCAGTTACTTCCCCTGCCACATCCCAGGTGCCCAGGGAGGCAGTCAGGTTCACCTGGCAGAGGGGATTGGAAAGTATAAGGTTAGGCCTCAGGTCCACCTCTTGCCTCCCTGATTCCTCCACCCCTCTAGGAGGCCCTGTCTCCCTCCCAGCATTCTTGATGCCCACCTGGCCTCCTTGCTCTCACCTGATATACCTCCTGACCAGATGCCGCCTGCAGACTCAGTCCTGGAAGGAAGGATGAAGGATCAAATTCACAGACAGCCCTGAACTCTTCCTTAATTTCCCCCTCTTTCATCACACACAACACTCAAACTTACACCCATCTCTTTTGAGGCCTCAGCAGGCATTGCATAGGATATCCTGGATCACTGGTTTTCGACTCCTTCCCATCAAAGAAGGAGCTCTTCTGTGGCCTCTTCTACCTATCCACCTAACCTTTGACCAGTTAGCAAATAATAGAGGGCATACACCCCCATTATAGTTTCTGCAATTCCTGCCTTTTGACAGAAGTCCTCACCTTTCACTTCAAACTTCCTTCATCCCTGCCCCCCACTCCCTGGCTCAGGCACTGCCACCCTCATGTTGCCTAGGCCATCCTCTAGGACCCTTGTCCCCACCTGGCACCAAGATGCTCCTCAGAGGCTGAACCTCCACACCCTGCAGGGGGTACTGTAGGGGAGAGTTGGCAGGGGCTATGATCAGCTGGTCAGAGGGGGACTGGCTCCTGGTGGCAGAGGAGGGTAAGACAAAGGAAGAGTCAGGAGGAGAGGGGCTCTCCTTCCTGGCACAGCCACTGCAGGCCTCCACTGCCCTTTCCCACAGGGCCATGCCTTCCTTTCTGGCTGGTACCTTGAAAGGAAGGCCTGGAACTCCCGCTCCCTGGCAGCAGAGGCAGCCTTCAGCTCTTCAGGATCAAAGGCCTTGGTGAGATCAATGGCTCGGACCTGTCTCTGGAAGGGAAGGGGGAGGCTCCCCCCACTGGACTCACAACTGCAGTTGTTCTGAGCCAGTAGCCTGAAGGCAAGAGAGGGATCTTCAGAGCCCAGCTACATCCATCCCGCAATATACACAGCACCCCATGCCTTGGCTCCTCAATGTTGTCCAGCCATTATCTATTCCCTCTCCAAATAGTTCCCAGGAGAAAGAACCACGGATGAGATAACCCATCCCTGAAGTCTGGATTTTACAGAGGTGTAGAATATGACCAAGTACTAGGATTTCAGAAGCTAACTACCCACGTTCAGGAGCCCCTCTGAAAGGCCCTCCCGGGCCTGAACATTCTCCTGTCCTCATTGCCATGACAAGGGTGGGGGGAGCTGCTTTTCCCCAGCCAAGCCTTGGCAGCCTGCTCTACCCCACTTCACTCCACGCAACCAGTCAGGAGAAGGGAGGCTCTGAGCGCAGCAGTGCTGGAAACAAAAGCTCCCCAGGGAACCCCCCAGCATTTGCTGCCACTGAGGTGGGCACTCACCCCACCACCTGCTCCTTGATCCTGACCGGGATGTGCGCGTAACGGGGCTCAGGGGCAAGGTCTGGCACCTCGGGCCTGGGGGCACCCTGCGGGGGTGTCCACAGCGCAGCAGGGGTCCGGAGGCCCCACGCGTCTCGGGTGCTCGCGTACAGAAGCCCCAACGAGGCGCAGGCGAGCAGCAGGACCAGCGCGCAGAGGGCCCGGCGGCCCAGCCGCATCCTGGTTGGAGGTAGGAGTTGGGTGAAAGAGGGTGTGAAGGAAGGTGAAGGCTGGAGCGCTTGACCCCAGCGACCTCGGAGTCTTTCTGGCTCCCAAAGGCGCACTCCACTCCACTAGGATTTGCCCCAAGAGTGGTTTCCTTGGTATCCCTCCCCTCATTGCCTCAGGCTCAGGATCTCCCGGCCTCCTTTCTTCTCGCCCTCTCCCGCATCTCGGTTTCCTCTCCCACCCAAGGCCTGGCATCTCGATGCGAGAGACATTTGGATGCGGCGGTTTGCGGCGGTGCAAAAACAGAAAAGCGCCGCCTACGTCCCCGAGCCCGCCGACCCCCCGGGACCCGCAGCCCCCTGCCCCCTCCCGCTCCGGTCGAGCATCACCTGGGCGGAGGTGGGCTGCAGAGGGGCGGCTCCACACCTTGACCGTAAGGAAAAACGCAGAATCACGTCAGCGCTGTGGGGTGCCCCGGCAGAGGTGACCCCTTGGGTGGCCTCGGGGAGCTGCCCTGGGGACTGGGTGGACCGGCGATCGCGCCTCCCGCCCCCCACCCGCGCCCCGTCCTCGGCCCCCGCTCCGCCCGGGCACCGACCTGTCTAACGCTCTAAGGCCGCGGCAAGACTTCCGTCTGGGCTGTGCCGGGCTCGCGGCCCCCGTCCGGGGGTCCTCATGGGGCTGGAGGCAGCCGGATGCTAGAGCTGGGCGTAAGCCGGGGAACGCAGGGGTCCTCCTGCCTCCGGAGAGCGCCCGCCCCTCCCGCCTTCCCGCTCCCGGGGCTTTGTGGACCGAGGAGCGGGGATCGCGCTGGACGCTTCCTGCCGGGGCGAACACGAAGCTGAGAATCCGCCTCACTCCAGCCCAGGAACAAAGCCGGATCCCTGGCACCGCGTCCCACTTGCAGGGCCGGAGGGCTCAGGCTGTCGCCCGGCTTTCGCACCGCACAGCCCTGTGGCTTGGCTCCGGGGCTGGTTGCCGCTGAGGCTCGGGCTCCGCTCCGGCAACGCGAACGCCGCGGCGCCTTCTGGTGGGCGCGGAGGACATTGCCCGGGTGCGGAGCCTACGCGGGAAGTTCCTCCCTCCTGGTCCCGCAGCCCTTTGCCCCCAAGCCTAGGCTTCTCAATGGCCCGCGCCCATCCCAGTCATTCTGTTTCC